TGTGTCTCCGACGCCAGAAATCTCGCCATATTTCGTCGATTTCTGAACGACACGTTTTATAATTCACGGATGTATTTGGTGGTTATACGTGGAGCCTCCACACACATCATCCTCGAGACAAAAAGCCGTCCCTTACTGCACCCTGTTCGTCTTTCACGCGGCATTGAAGGCGTTTTAGTGCCTATGAGGCCCTTTGACTGGCGTTATTCATCAAATGTTGGATGTATATGGAGAATATGGTGTACAGTGTTGATAGCCATAGCTGCGTAATAGTGTTTCTGAGCATCCTACAGTCCATTAGAGGTGCTTCAAATCAATCAGTCTGTTCTGCTCAAATAAAAATGCATGGACTTACTCGCCCTCCATGGCTCGGTGTTGCCCGCCGCTTCGAGCTGGCTGCCCCCCGGTCTCTCGTCTTTTTTATTCCCCTTCTTACCGAACACACACACACTCGTGCGCGCGCGCGTTCTCACACTCATACACACACACACACACACGCGCGCGCACACACACACGCGCGCGCGTTCTCACACTCTCGCTCACATACGCACGCACACAGTCTCTCTTTCACTCACTCCTTGTGCTCGCTGCTCTCATTTTCTTGTCTTTCTCTGTCCACCTTCATATGGTTTCGGATGGGCTCGAGGATGCAGCAGCCATTTTCCACCGGCAGCATCATCATCGTCCTCCCTCTCCCTCTCTCCCTCCCTCCCTTCCTCTCTCGCTCTCTCTCAATCACTCCCTCCCTGTTTCTCTCTCTCTCTCTCTCTCTCTACCTGTCTACAGCAGTTCTCACACGCTCGTATTAAACACACTCGTGGATGGACACAGTGTCCCCGAGTGGGAGCTGCATCGGTCCAGTTTTGTGCCTGTCAGGACATTGGGCGCGAAATTGCTCTGTAAATGACCACATACACGATCCAGTCACCGCTGACACATCTGAAACCCAGAGTGACTACTAGTGTCAGAAATATTTAAACGACAGGAAATGATCAATAGTTTACATTAGCAGTGATTATTGCTGAAACTCGGTTGATAAGGTGCAGATCCGCGATGGATTGTGCTTCAGTACCTCGGACAGCTCCCTTACAGCTCTATACGCCATGACAGAACTCACAGCAGCTAGCCTCCATTCATCTCCAACTCCCCATTCATGTTCACTGATAGCCCACCATTGATAAACAGCCACGCCAGCGTCGAGCCTTTATTACTCAAATAAACAGCCCGACTCGCCCCCTTTCAACCATTTGGAGAAAGTACATTGAGTACAACACAAGGCTGTGCTTAACTAATTCAAAGTCCATTGTAAGACTTCATCATTTGACTAATGAATGTTTGCGCGCGAATTTAATCGCGCGCTTTGAATCAAAAATAACTCGCGGAAGAATAATAATGCGATGGATCTTAAAAGTTTTAATATATCTTTTTGTTTCATTGTTCTTAACGGCAAACTGAAACAGATATTATTGAGAAATACTCTTTATTTTGGTCATAGTTTCTGTTTAATCAATATTTTTCTTCTATAACATTTGATCGTTTTAATGTATGTTCTACTAACATAGGCATTTATAGGCAAATAACAAACTGGCCAGCACATTCAACATTCCTCAGTCAGAATTTGAGCTTCCATATTTGGGCTTGATAATTTATCTAGCCTCTCTGATAAAAAAAAAAATCATTTGAATATTCATGGATAACAACAAAAGCCATTTTAGTTTTCAACTTATTTTTTTATAAGCCACTTTTGGTGCTTCACACCTTTTTATTGATAATTTTTTGTTTCAAGAGTAACATCCCATGGTATATGTTTTTGCACAACTGGATGTTGGACTCCTGTACAAAACTGTATAACTGAAGTCACACTGATGTGACAGTCAACAGATGATTCAGCTTGGTCTTAAAGCCTTTTTCAATGTGTTATTTTAACAATTCATGATGGTGTAGCAGTCAAAAAAGAGCAAATGAGCTCATGTATGAGACAAATTCTGGACCTTTGTCACTGAGGGGTGGGTCTTTTGAACCACCCGAATCCTCGCTGGCTACAGGCCTGTATATATATATATATATATATATATATATATATATATATATATATATATATATATATATATATATATATATATATATATATATTTTTTTTTTTTTTTTTTCTCATTAGGATCAAAACTAATAATCTTGATTTTTTTTTCTAACATTGTATGTGCTATTGAAATTTTTTTTTGTATATACACCAACTGATCTAAAATAGAAAACATGATATAACAATAGAGTCATTAGGGACAATAAATAATATCTTGACTTCTAGTTGATCATTTGGTATCAGAAGTGGCTTATATGAAAGGTAAAGGCCTCTATATTACGCTGATTTTACCACAATAAAATATGATCATGCCTTGATTTTTTTAATGATTTAATTAGGACAGTAAGGTCTGACTCTGCTTAGACAAAAGTATTGTCAACTAACAGAAATAATGTACAGTATAGAATATAAAGTCGTGCTGCAGTGGAGAAACAATGAATATTGTGATGACATCTCTGCAATGAATCATAAAACGTATTAATAAAGTCATCTGGAATGGCAAAGAAAGCGTTCGTGCAGGACTCCCAGAGTTAATCAAGATTTGGATTCATCTTCAATGCCTCCTCCTTCTCCTTATCCCAAAAATGCTCACTAATGTTTATGTCTGGTGACTGGGCTGGCCAATCCTGGAGCCCCTTGACCTTTTTTTTGCATGCAGGAACTTTAATGGGGAGGCCGAAGTATATGAGGAGCGCTATCCTGCTGAAGAATTCACCCTCTCCTGTGGTTTGTAATGTAATGGGCAGCACAAATGTCTTGATACCTCAGGCTGTTGATGTTGGCATCCACTCGGCAGATCTCTTGCTCTCCCCAATACTGTATGTAACCCCAAACCATGATTTTTCCTTCACCAAACTTGACTGACTTCTGTGAGAATCTTGAGTTCATGCGGGTACCAGGTCTTATGCCGTATTTGATTAAGATGCAGTTCAACAGATGATTCCTTTGAAAAATCGACCTTCTGACACTTTTCCAAACGATCAACTAGAAGTCAAGATATTATTTGTTGCTCTTACAACTGAGATCGACGACAATACTTTTGTCAGGTAGTGTAATCTGCAATTAGTTATTGAAAAGGGGTTTATAATTTATTAATATATATTAATCAAAACATTTGACCTGAAGTTCTAAACAAAGCAAGAACCATGGTCCCATATGAATGAGTCGAGTTATTATCGGTTGCTTTTACAACAGGGATCAACGACAAGACTTTTGTCAGGTAGTGTAGGTTAGTGATATTCACACTTCATAAAGATCGACATTAGGTTCCTTTTCTCATCATCAAAAATCACAAAAATCTATGGTGGCTGAGAGAGCTCAAACATGCTGCAAGTTAAGAAAATTACAGATTGACATATTGAGAAAGCATCTTTATCGGTTTGTTAGTTTATTGGTGTTTTTTTTTCATATTCTCTTAACTTGCAGTGCATTTTGAAAAAAAAAAATCTCTTTTAAGCTGAATATATATATTTTATGTAACATATAGTTGTGTAAAAAATTAAATGTGATCATATTCCTGAGAACTTTCTATTTGTCCCAAAAGCTTCATTCAGCAAAAGTCAGAGTCAAAGATTGAATTACAGTAATGTGCCTTCTCTAGTTTTGTTTTGTATGATGGTTTCAAACATGTTGTGAAAGCTAAAAGTTGTCAGATGGGTTGTACATGTTGCAACTGGATATTTAGCCAAACGTATGTTTATTTTCTATTTTCAAGAGTTCACACTTAGCTGATGATTGATTATAAAGCATGTTTGGCATGCTGTCCCAGGAGAGAGCCCTGAGCTCATAAGATCCTGGAGCCCGGGGCTCCCTCTCGCCTTCAAACGGTAGTTTAAGCTCAGGTAGATCTCGAGAACTCCCTTGCTGTAGTTGCTAATGATTGAGTGATTGCTCTTAAGAGAAAACTACTTACTAGGAGCATGTCTATGGTGCCGATTTGGATTAGTCAATTAACTTAAGTTGCATGTTTTTGGACGGTGGGAGGAACCCAGGGGAAACCCACATGAGCACGGGGCGAACGTGCAAACTCCGCACAGAAACGTTGGCTGGCCCGGTAAGGACTAGAACCAGAGACGCTCTTGCTGTGAGGCAACAGTGCTAGCTACTAGGCCACCATGCCACTTTTCTAGGAAAGGAAGAGTAGGGGTGGAAGGGGGTATTCTTCAAACGAAGATGACTGTGGTATGAAACTTAAGCCCAAGTTTTTTTATAATCCTGAATGATTCTAGCATGTCAGACTGCACGAACATGACACCCATGTCACACTATAAGTTCTCAGCCGTCATAAAGTCAGACTGAACGACAATGAAGACACGCCAAACACAAAAAAAAAAATGCCACCGGAGTTTGACGTCCTCCACCCGTGACACTTTTACTATACTGCTTTCTGAAACGATTCCCCACAGCAAATGTAAACAATCTGTAGCTGCAAATTTTGCACACGGCGTGTCTCAATAATAAAACCAATAAGAAAAAACAGTTTTGACATTTCCCTGTGGTCATTTCAATTGTTGCATGGATTTCGCTTCTTGTGGATTAGATTCTGTGCTCCGATTGGTTCTTGGATTGACGCTCATCGCAGCTGTTGTCACACTGCAGGAAAGTGTCTGAAATCTTCTAACAGTGCCAGAACTTCATCGGAGGAAAAATCTGATCGCAACGAGCTGTCTGTGAACATGTCAAACCAACAATCAAAGATCAACGATTTTAGCCTAGGATTTCAGAAATCTTAAATTAAATTTGTCTCAGAGGACAAAATCATGGCTGAAATCTCACAGTGTGAGCAGGGCTTTAGGGTATTTATAGTGGCTTAGGAATTGTCTGATTGGCGAATCATAAATCGGATAATGCAGGGTCAGCCGCAAGCAATCATAAGCAACTGATCCCCTCGAAATAAGTTTATAAATAAACTTCACTTATAAGAATCAGAAAAAACAGTTTTATTTACTATGAACTGTCACTTCCTTTTGACAATTTGGGGGATTTTTATCCCATTACAGGATAAACAAAGAAAAACATCTGCAAACTTTTAACCAATCCTCTCACAGTTGCTAGGATACAAGGCGGAGAGTACAATAATTCAATGAATACTCCTGGGATTACATTGAATAAGCAGTGAAGTTTAGCTTCCATCCCCAACATACTATCTAGACCCACTTTTCCAAACTCTCAAACTCACTTTTGTTAAAAAAAACCCATTAAACATTGAGGGGAAAAAACAACTTGATATTCAAACTATACGTATTAAATGTTTATTTCCAAAAAAACTTAGAGCGGTTATTAGATGATCACCAGTAATGCAAGAGAGTTACTGAAAACACACATCCAACACACAATCATACCAAGAGACCCTGATACAGGCAGATATTGATCATTCGTAGGCCTCTGAGATCCATTATTTGTGGGTGTGTCATCCGCTGTCTAAACTGAGTCCAGATATATGGCCACTGTACAATGCTTTTATTTGTATGTTTGGATGAACAAATGTGAACCTTTATGTATACATGTGTCAAATATCCACACTACACAATCATTTCCAGCTGTCTTGCATACTCGATGACTTGTTTGGCCAGTTCTGTGGAGGGGATGGTCACCTCCTCTGTCTTTTGATGCTGGGTGCTGAATGAGTAGTATCCATCAGGACTCTGGGTCCAGTTTCTCTGCGGAGCACAAAAGTCAAAACGTCAACATTGTAATGCGTGGAAAATACATCGCTATAAAAAAACTGACTCTATTTAAAATTGAAAGGCCACTTGTTGCACAGCTTTGAGCTGACTCAAACCCAACCTGTTTCTCAACCACGTTCCTGGAGGACCACCAACACTGCATGTTTTGGAAGTCTCTCCTTTGTCTGTCACACCCAAGTGTGCCGCAAGCCTACGTTTGAGTGAAGGTTTCGGCCGTTAGATCGCCCCCTGGGGGCTGGCTGCAGTACAAGTCATAAAGCCCGCCTCCTCCGTGTTAATGAAGGAGACTTGAGCCCAAATAAAAAAAAATATTACACTTGCAATAAAATGTCCCGAAAGATAGTTCTGGTCGATTAAGGCTCTGGTTATTGTGCTGAAATAGGTGCAGATCTTCATTTTTGTAAACAGTTTGTTTTTAGCAGTAATTTAATGCTGGGCGTGTCATCGTGATTGACAGCTGTGATTGACAGTTTCTCAAAGCGCGGCGTCTGAGCTTCGGCAGGAGACTGAAGTAGACTGAAATGTTATTATTCGATTTCTGTGTTATTTTACCATGACAAAATAAGTTCAGCAGTAAACTACAGTTTCTGACATACATGATCCTGGTGGAACACTGTTTATTCGCTAAGTTCAGGGCTTTATTAGTTTGCTGATACACGCCTAGCCACCCAGATAGCAAAACACAGTTCCGGCTAGATTCTCGCCTGCCGGAGACTTATCTCTCAGAGCTCAGACTGACTAATGTTACCTCTGCTGGACCAACTCCGGATGCCTGGACTCACTACCCAATTCCAGCCCGAGTCAATCAAGCCAGATGCGGCGGCCGAGCGAGCAGGCGCTGCCGCATGCGAGCCGGAATCAGCCCGCGACGCCGCGAGTAAGTTATGCGCTGCGGCCTGGAGCTGGCGCGATTGAATATATAAAACCCTCATATTTGTTAACGTTATTACATCCATTTGTGTTGATATGACAGCAAACGCATGCTGAGAAGTTCGGGGGGCGTAGTTGATTTTACATAAAGCGTTTGATTGGAAGCTCGACTCTGCTCATTTTCGCGGCTCCTCCTCTGGCTCCATCAGACAGTCCTTCTGCGCATGTCTGGCTCCAATTTCAGCAGTCTTTTGCGACAGTTTGTGCCCGTCAAGCAGGCGTTTTGCCCTCAAGGCGTTCAATGGGAAAAAGGGCTGTCGTGTCGTCCATATTTTTTACAGTCATTGGTCACACCCATTACAGGTCTTTCAGTCTCTGCTAATGAGCTGATGATCTGAATCAGTGGTGTTTGGTTAAGGAGACATGGAAAATGTGCAGAGCTGGTGGTCCTCCAGGAACAAGGTTGAGAAACTGCTGTAGTTGACTCGGTTTATGTTGAGGCAACTCAAAAAGCTCTGCAGTAAATTCAGTAAGTTCAATAAATTTAAGTTGAGTCAACTATTTTTGTCTGTTGTTTGACCTGAGCCAATCTCAAATGTTTGTTTTAATGCAACGCTTGGGCAGTATAATGCTAAATTCTGATTGAAATAACCAGGCAGCAGTATAGTGAAAATGTTTATGTCCCCCATATAGCTGGGCGCAGTGCGCAAATGAATATGTAAATAACATCTCTTGTTTTTTCAAATGTACCATTTAGGGCTGAGAAAATAAACCACTGCACTTCGAATCAAGAAATGATTCTGCATCCATTCTGAAATTTTCTAAATGCATTGCAATTCTCTCTTGAATAGAGGTCAGTTTTTACGACCAGATGTTGCTGTATGCTATCAGTCACACTTGTTACACATACCAGCTAAATGTATAACAATCATTGATAAAAGTTAATTATTTTATTGAAAACATTTTAAGCTAATTATAGCGGTATGTTCACACCAGATGCGGATGAAGGGTCAAGTGCGAGTGACTTACATATTAAGGCCCAATACCAATTTCATTTTTGTACCCCTACCTTTTCTCATGCGTTGGCGCCGTTTCAGTGGCGTCGCTCACTGCAGAAGTTGAAAATTTCTCAACTTTTCAAGCGCCAAACGGACGCATCAGCCAATCAGATTGTTTAATGCAAATACACCAGTTCAGACAGTAGTCGATTACGGACTAATTTCATTGGCTGAGGCTGCTATGAAGATCCTGTCAGCCCCAAATTCAGACATTTATGAGAAACACATTAAACACTTACTTTCTTTGCATAGTCTGTCATCTTTTTTGGAGAGGAAAAGAAAAGCACCCGCGTGGCTTCATTGAATTGAATCTGTTCATATGCTTTCTCTATACAACCTGCAATCTCATCTCTACAAACAAAACACAAGACATGTAAATGACTCGGTAAAGACCAAATCTATTCAAGACAGTTAAATCATCAACACTGAGATAATTAGACCACAAATAAAACCCCTACCGGATGGTATCAAGAAGAGTATCAATAAAGAAGGTGTAGCTCTCCGCGGGAATATTTCCTTTGGCAAGAAATACCTTGTTGTAACTGCCCTCCATCAGATACTGAAATTAAGAAAGAAAAAGGTAGGAAAAAAGCAGACATTTGCTGTACAAGTTCAATTTAAGTGACAAGTGTCTCAAACCTGCTCTAATGAAACTGGGTGTCTGATGTAGACGTTCGTCTGGATGTCCTTTGCGCTCAGTCTTTCCAGCTCTGTGTGAAATTCAGACACTCGGTTCTGAGAGAGCAGGAAGAGCAGGTTTAGTCCCAGCAACTGGTGCCTGTAGGCCGACTCAGGCAACTCATCCCTGTGACATTTCAGAAGATGGGGAATTGTAACAGGAGCAAAGACAGGCAAAAATCCTTATTCTTGAAAGTAATAGTTTGCAGTATACAACCATTGAAAATGGATAATTATATATGCATATAATGGCCTTAAACAAATACCCTAAATCTGTCTCCAATATTTCCTTTGAATGTACATTTCATCACACTGTTTTAGGAACCAACAGCAAAATTTTGTTAAATTTGGGTATTACATTTTTCGGTTTAACTTTTGCAACAGTTTAGTATTTAAAAAAGTATTAAAATTAGTATGTATTTACTATTTAAATCTGTGGTTGGAAATGGCAAAAGTAAAGGATATAGTTTAACTTTCATTTTGCTATATATCTTTGCATATAAGAACGAGCCTCGTCCTCTTTACCTTTACTTTACTCCTTTACTTTCGTGAATCAGTAAACGTTGTTGTACGCACTCCACTGAAGACATCCATTAGCCTACATTCATTAGCCTACAGTTTTTACACTAACAATTTTGTTAGTTAAGAGCAAAGATTTTTTTCAAAACTATTTATAAATTCAGTTCTAATTTCCTGCAACCGAATAAATAATCAATAATAAAAAAGTGTTACATCCAAACACACGTCCTGCTCTTATGCCACATATGGTGATGCGTCTACAAAACACAAAAAGGTGAACAAATCTAAACTTGTTTTTATTAAAACAAATATAAATATGCACAAAATAATTAATACTGCTATTAATAACAACATTATAATAAAAATGCTAATTGTCATGAATAAACTGAAAAAAGCCCCCCACACATGAAGGCATAGAGAGGGCGTTTATGTAGTAAATAATATTTTTTGTAACATTTTAATCCTTTATTCTTTTTAATGTAAATATATTTGTGTATTGCTGTACATCCCGTTTTGAACCTATATAGGCGCATAACTAACGCGCTCTGCATTGGACTTTAGACCTGCTATTTCTGTTTCTCAAAATAGCAACGCTCCAACAATGCGCCTTAACACACCTCCTTTATAGACCGACACACCTTTGAGTCCAGAAAGTGGCGCAAATGGATTTGCCATTTAAACAACGTGGCACGAATCGTGAAAATTAGGGTTGCGCTGGTCTGAAAATAGCAACAAATCACGCCAAACATGCCGGGTGTATTATAGGGCTCTTAGACTGCATCAAACTGTCTAAAATTTATAAAACAACAAATGGAACACTGTTCCTTGTTATAACACCATGTCTACACCAAAAACAATTGAGCATAGTACACAAAAAAAAAAAAAAAATCAGTGTGCATATTTATGTCACAGGCTTCAATTACAGATTTGATCTTCTAACATGCACAAATACAGAGTTTCCAAAATGTTTCAATCCCCATGCTTATCTTCCTTTTAAAAGCAGTCTAAAAATGTTCTATTTCCAGTGATAACAGGTGTATATATATTTCTTACCTATATTTATCAGCATAAACATGCCTTTTCTGTCCAGTTGAGCTGCCAATGCAACTACTACTGGAATACTGGAATATTTAGTTGTAAACATGATCAATAATTTGTTCGGCAAACTGAACTCTTCCATCTCTTTTTTCCCCCAAGCACTTGTGCCATTTCTAACATGAAGTGGTTTTGCCACTAAAAGTTTTTGTTCAGTGTAGACAAAGTGTTAGGATCACACAGAAGGTAAGGCAAAAGCAATTTTTCCACCCATTTTTGCATCTGTCTCATATTTCTACTTCAAAAACATTGACCTTCTTCTGCAACTATACTGTCATATGGTACTGGTATGTCATACTTGCACAAAATATGGCCGATAGGTTTCAATAATGTTGTTGGACACACAAATAGTTTTGGAACATACAGGATGTTTTATAGTACAAGGACCTTTTTATATGCAAAAAACCCAAAAGAAAATTTCAATTTATGGCAGCTGAGTGAGATATGATGGAAAACTGAATTACTTGTAATCAAAGTAGTAGCATTTAAGCTGAGCCATGTAGCGTTCAAATGAGGGGATGTCTTTCTTCAGAATGCTCCACAGCGCTCCAATCTCCAAAACATCTCCTTAAAGAAAAATGACATCATAAAAGAAATTTATCAGTTGTTTCAGCTACACACATCTCATTCAAATACAATTTATTTATACTCACGTGCGAGGATAAGCTGCTGTTTGGTTAGTTTGGTCCCAGTGGTTGGTAGAAAGTTCAACTCCAACAGGGAAATCTTTGGAAAAAAATAAAACTCAATCACACACAACACAATGGATTTAACACATGACAACTGCATTAAATATGAGTCTTGAAGGAATAGTTCACCCGAAAATCAAATCTTACTATTTCCTCACATAAAGGTTTGTAACCACTTGAGGGTTTCTTACTTCAGTAAAACACAAAAGAAGAGATTTTACAGAGAGCTGAAAACCTGTAACCATTGGCTTCCATACACTACCTGACAAAAGTCTTGTCATTGATCCCAGTTGTCAGAGCAACAAATAATAACTTGACTTCTAGTTGATTATTTGTAATAGTGGCAGAAGGTGGATTTATCTGATGACTCATCTGTTGAACTGCATCCCAATCAAATACTGCAGAAGACCAACTGGACGCAAGATTCTTAAAGAAATCAGTCAAGTTTGGTGAAGGAAAATTCATGGTTTGGGGTTACATTCAGTATGGGGGCATGCAAGAGATCTGCAGAGTGGATGGCAACATCAACAGCCTGAGGTATTAAGACATTTGTGCTGCCCATTACATTACAAACCACAGAAGAGGGCAAATTCTTCAGCAGGATAGCGCTCCTCATATACTTCAGTCTCCACATTAAAGTTCCTGAAAGCAAAGCAGGTCAAGGTGCTCCAGGATTGGCCAGCCCAGTCACCAGCCTCCCAGTCACTAGCCTTGATGATCTCTGGGATAGGGTTAGGCTGATAGATGATGTCATCGTCCCTCGCCGATGGCCAATAGACAACACGATGTTGAGCTGGCATCGCCGATCCTCTGCCCTGCCACTGTCGCCAACCCACTTGCGAAAAATACACACTTTGGCCCCGTTTACACTAATACGTCTTAGTGTTAAAATGCCATTTTAGAACGTAAATGATCCACATCCACACCGTGTTTTACCTAGCATTTCTGAACAGCTCTCCGTCCGCTGAAAACGCATGTCACGTTACCACACACACACACACACACACACACACACTGTCATGTGCTCCTCTGAGCTCCAGAAAGAGCAGTGCATGACAGACAGTTTATCAAGGATGTACCGCTGGATCGCGTCTCACTATAGTTGTTTAACGTGATATTCAGACATCCTAAGTATCCCGGAAGTTCAAGGAGTCTCTATGCATTTGCGGGACTCATAATGCCTGCAAACAAGTGATAATCTCCTGGAAATTGCGCGTCTCCCTCCTGGTCCTCAAGTAAGTCGCGCACCCTTCTCACCCCCGGATACCTCCTCGCTCTTCAGATGCTGGTGCGCACTCTATCAAACACCCCCAACCCAATAATTAAAAATCAAGGCATGATCATATTTTATTGTGATAAAATCTGCGTTATCTAGAGGCCTTTGCCTTTTATATAAGCCACCTCTGATAGTAAATGATCAACTAGAAGTCAAGTTATTATTAAGTTGTTCCTAAAACTTGGATCGGCGACAAGACTTTTGTCAGGTAGTTTAGTATTTGTTTTTCCTACTATGAAAGTCAGTGCTTACAGGTTTTCAGTTTTTTGCTCCGGTTTCCCCCACAAGTCCAAAGACATGTGCTATAGGTCAATTGGGTAGGCTAAATTGCCGGTAGTGCATGTGTGTGTGAATAATAGTGTATGGGTGTTTCCCAGTGTTGGGTTGCAGCTGGAAGGGCATCGGCTGCATAAAACTTATGCTGGGTAAGTTGGCGGTTCTTTCCGCTGTGGCGAGCACTGAATAATAAAGGGACTAAGCCGAAAAGAAAATGAATTAGCACTATTTAATCGACTGAATAATGTTGTACTTTGATACTCATTGGCTGCTCACATGATTTCACAATTTAGAATTTGCAAAAAAATTCCTAAATGAAACTACATTATTAAGGAGAAAGTCTGAATATGCTCATATAAAACAGCTTTACCCAGATCACACACACGCTGTCATCTTGTGTCACTGCTAACGTAACGTTATTTAAATTCGAGGTTTGCTAGCTAACTTTTTACTTTAAGGGTTAACAAACGCAAAGTCTCACAATTTACAAAACAATACAAGTTTTACGTAACGTCCATAAACTAAAACACACAATGAAGCGTTTGTTGATGAGCGTGAATCCGTCGTAATGGACTCAATATAGCTGCACTGCTAACTGCTCTTCAGGCCACAACTACAGCTTATCTGTACAGTTTTTACATATTTTTTCTGTTACATAAAATCGATCTTACCTTTAACTTGCTCAAGAGCTCACCGCATTTATTGAGGTTTGGGTTCTTTTTATTCCACTCGGCTTTCAATGTTTCATATAATCCCGCAGTCTCTTTCAACACAGACGCCATGGTGATTCTGCAAAAATGTACGACACCGGCCTGTCAGAACACGGCAGTATTCTGTCGTAAAGATCGTTCGTGTTACTGTGGAAACCAGGAAAAGCACATATTTTGGGTGAAACCATTGCAGTCTTTCTTAACGAATATGACATTTATTTGCTTTATTCATATATTATTTTCATTTATTCACTTTAGATGTATCAAATAATATTATTATCAACAAAATATATAGTTTTGTTTAAAAATATTGACGTTTTGGTGTAGCAGTTGTCATAATGCTTAGGAGTGCGGGCTTGTTTTTAAGAAGATTCATTATTATTGGTGAAAACAGCCATACTGTTAATACATAAATTTAACTAAATATATTAAATAAGTATATGTATTTCACGAATTATATTAACAATTTTAATATTTAACTAGGTATATTAGTTGGCAGTTCATTCCGCTGTGGTGACTCCTAATGAGGGATTGAGCCGGGACTAAGGAAAATGAATGAATGAATGAAAGAAGCATATAGTTTTTAATGAAGTATATTAAATAAGTGTATTTAATGATGTATATTAAATATATTACTATTTAACTAAGTATATTAAATAAGTGTATTTAACGAAGTATATTAAGTATGTTAATATTTAACTTATTATATTAGTATTTAACAAAGTATATTAAATAAGTGTATTTAACGAAGTATATTAATATTTAGCTTATTATATTAGTATTTAACAAAGTATATCAAATAAGTGTATTTAACGAAGTATATTAAGTATATTAATATTTAAATTATTATATTAGTATTTAACAAAGTATATTAAACAAGTGTATTTAGCGAAGTATATTAAGTATAAATGTAAATGTATATTAACATTTAACTAATTATATTAGTATTTAACAAAGTATATTAAACAAGTGTATTTAACGAAGTATGTTAAGTATAAATGTAAATGTATATTAACATTTAACTAATTATATTAGTATTTAACAAAGTATATTAAACCATTGTATTTAACGAAGTATATTAAGTATAAATGTAAATGTATATTATCATTTAACTAACATTAGTATTTAACGAAGTATATTAAATAAGTGTATTTAATGAAATATATCAAGTATAGTAACATTTAACTAAGTATATTAAACAAGTATAAGTATTTAACAAAGTGTATTAAGTATATTACTATTTAACTAAGTATATTAGCATTTAACAAAGTATATTAAATAAGTGTATTTAACGAAGTATATTAAGTATATTATTATTTAACTATTTATATTAGTATTTAACTAAGTATATTAAATAAGTATTTGTATTTAATGAAGTAGCAGTGGTTAGAATGATCGCCTCACAGCAAGAAGGTCGCTGGTTTGAGCCTCGGCTGGGTCAGTTGGCATTTCTGTGTGGAGTTTGCATGTTCTCCCCATGTTTGCGTGGGTTTCCTAGGGTGCTCCGGTTTCCCCCACAGTCCAAAGACATGCAGTACAGGTTAATTGAATAAGCTAAATTGGCCGTAGTGTATGTGTGTGAATACAAGAGTGTATGAGTGTTTCTCATCGTTAGGTTGCGGCTCAAATGGCATCCGCTGTGTAAAAGATATGCTGGATAAGTTGGCAGTTCATTCCGCTGTGGTGACGCCGAATCAATAAAGGGACTAAGCTGAAAAGAAAATGATGAATGAAATATAAAGTTCTGCGTACAGGTAATACATGTATTTATTAATTTATGTGTATTTAATTACTTCATAATATTCATTTGTGTTCAGTCTACATAGAAACAGTGGTGTGAAATCAATAGACCATTTATTATTAAATAACCTTTTAAAAGTCACACTTTAAACTATTTTGATTCTGTTTATGCTTGTTTTGTTAATTTATGTCTTGACATCTCATTTAGACAATAAAATCTAAATCAGTAATACTGCTTAGTATATTGAAGAAATTTATAGAGGATCCTGTTTTTGTTATTATTTTTGTCCTGTATGTAATTTTTATGTAATTTTATATTTTGTGCTTTGTTTTATACGTTATGACGAACGTGTTTATATGGTTTTATCTGACTGTACTTGTGTCATACTGCAATAATAAATAAATAGACAAACTTCCATTCAGACGTTATTATGGGAGTCGTGTAATTATGTATCAGCGCCATCTGCTGGACACTGTAGACAGCGACAGTCACACTAGTGTACTTTATTGCTAACAACTTTGAATAATAAGAGCGTTTATAGTTCACTTTCGATTTGAAATAGGTGTAATAACCGATTTATTGACAAAAAAAGGTCAATTATCGATTAATACGCTCCTCCGCTCGGTTATGACCATAGGCGGTTATGACAAGGCTAAACACAAGACTTCTCTACTGTAATGGATGCACATGCGCACAAATGAGATAAAGAGGAAGGAGTGGGTGGAGGTGGCGGATGAAAAGTGCGATATTTCTGTCACACCAGGCGGGCAGCAATGACATTAAAGCACTGGGGAACGATCGTGAATGTCCAGGCCACACCCAAACTACGCAATATACAAGCACAACTTTAAATGCGACCAATCAGTGGGGGTAAACAAGTCAAAGACCACGCCCCTCGTACGCTTCATAAAAAGGGGCTTTTTTATGAGGGGGCAAATGGTTAATTTTAGCCTTTATTACACAGAAGCCAATCCTCCACTGTAACGCTTGAGGTCGCACCACCCCTTATTTGTGATGTTTAGGACAGAGGGCCAATCACAGCCCCCAATGTTTCATCAAAACAGACTCCTTTGTCATAAAAACATCCGGACCCAAGGTGAAGCTGTACAGACAACCGCCTGTTTGTTATTGTGGAGGCCATCCTCGGACTTTATCTCACTGTTGTGGGGAAATGTACCTTATATAGAAGATAATCAGCATAAAATGAGAAAGATTTGTAAATAGTAAAATTCTGTATGAGAATTTTTAATGATATTGATAATAAAATGAGCAAAGCAAATTCATATTGGTGGTGTTTTTCATTTAAAATAAATTAGTTACACTATTTGTTTTGGCATATTTTAATAGGAATCGTAACTATATGTGATTAATTGACTAGTCTTCATTAATTAAAGTGAATAATGAAAGGAAAAGTATTGTTACCGTTCAAGCACATTTTAAAACTATAATTTTGCTGTGTACTTGTTATCTTAAGAATTGTAGTGTTTCATATAAATGTTTTTTAACATGTATGCTCAAAAGTTGAACTGTAGACAACGAAACTTGACAGTGTTAAACAATGTTTTAATTGAAAAAAAAAAAACGCAAGATTTTGATGTCATTTTAATTACATTTGCTTCATTGTTTTTTCAATTTTTGTTACGTGTACATTGTTATAATCCGAACAGACTGAAGAGAACATAGCTAGATGTCATGTATTTTTATTTAAAATAAATATTATAAATATTATAAATATAAATAAGAAAAATAATCATTTTAAAACTTCTTTTAACAAAATTAATTAGTTACTTTTTTGCTTTGGCATATTTTGATAGGAATTATAACCATAATCGACTAATCATCTTCATTAATCGAAGTGATGAATAAAAGGAAAAGTAGTGCTACAGTTCGCTCATTATACAAACATAATTTTGCAATGTTGTTATATTAAGCATTGTGTTTCGTATTAAATTTTTGAACGTGTATACTGAAAAGTTCAACTGTGGGCAACGAAACTTGACAGTGTTAAACAACATTTTAATTAAAAAAAGGCAAAGAGACGATTTTGATGGCATTTTCATGACATTTTTTTCCATTTTTGTTGTGTTTATTGTTATAATTCCTTCGAAAATACTGTTAAACCGAAGAGAACAAAGCTAGATGTAATTTACTTTCATTTAAAATTATTATCCTAAATAAGAAATGATTTTATTTAAGCAAAATAATCTCTTTTTTATTAATTAGTTGTGTTTTTTGTTTTGGCACATTATGATAGTAATTGTAACAATAACTAATCATCTAAATAATCAAAGTGAATAATAAGGAAAAGTAGTGTTACAGTTCAAGCCCATTGTATGTATATTCTTTTGCAGTTTACTTGTTATATTATACATTGTAGTGTTGTATATTAAATTAATTAGCATGCATACTCAAAACTGTAGACAACAAAAATTGACAGTGTTAAACAATATTTTAATTGAAAAAAGGTGAAGACAAGAATTTGATGTCATTTGAATTACATTTTTTCCCCATTTTTGTTACGTGTACATTGTTATAATCCGAACAGACCGAAGAGAACATAGCTAGATGTCATGTATTTTTATTTAAAATAAATATTATAAATTAGAAATGATTTTATTCTAAGCTAAATAATAATTTTAAAACCTTTTTAAAATAAAATTAATTAGTTACTTTTTTATTTTGGCATATTTTGATAGGAATCGTAATCGACTAATCAATTACTATTATGAAGTGAATAATGAAAGGAAAAGTAGTGCTACAGTTCAAGCACATTATATAAATATCATTTTGCTGTGTACTTGATATATTAAACATTTGTATTATATTTTGTAGTTTCATATTAAATTATTCTAAGTATATACTGAAGAGTTCAAATGTAAACAACAAAACTTGACAGTATTTAACTATAATTTAATTGAAAAAAGAAAAAAAATATTCTGATGCCCTTTTCCTTAAATTTTTGTTAAAGTGTTGTTATAATCCAAATAAAAATACTGTTAAACTGAAGAGAACAAAGCTAGATGCCATGTATTTTAATTTAAAATCACTATTATGAACAAACGCTTTCATTTAAGCAAATATACCCTTTTTTAATAAATTAGTTACCTTTTTATTTTGGATCAGATTCGTAAAAGGTTGTCTAAGCAACACATAATCAATAAAATGTAAAAAAGTAAATAAATAATCAGACAACCACTGATATAATCCTTGGTCATTATATAAGCATTACTTTCTAATTTGCTATTTATACACACACACACACACACACACACACACACACACACACACACACACACTACTTGTTCTGTGTTGTAATGTGGTTCATATGAAGGTTGAACTCCATTCCTTCATACTCAGTGTATCTACTCTACAG